CAGTCAGCTGTTGCTAGATTACAGACAGCTGTTGCTGGAGACCAGTCAGCTTTTTGTGTGCTGGACCATCAGCAGTTGCTGGATCCAGCAGCCTGTTGCATGGACCAGTCTAGGCTGTTGTTGGATCAGTCACTGTTTGGCTGGATCAGTCCACTGTTGCTGGGTCAGTCAGCTGTTGGGCTGTATCAGTCAGCTGTTGCAGAACCAGTCAGCTGTTGCTGGACCCGTCAGCTGTTGCTGGATCAGTCAACTGGTGTTGCGGATCAGTCAGCTGCGTTGCTGATTCATCAGCTGTTGCTGGATCAGTCCACTGTTGCTGACCAGTCAGCTGTTGCTGGATCAGTCAGTTGTTTTGCTGGATCAGTCAGCTGTTGCTGGACCATGTCAGCTGTTGCTGACCATATAGTCAGCTGTTTGCTGGAATCATCAGCTGTTGCTTGGACAGTCAGCTGCTGGGGCGCTCACCACGGTCACTGCTGTTGCATCCATCTCGCTGTTTCTGAACATGACTCGTCCCGAACCTGTCCGTCGCAGCCTGAGTCGCCTGCCTTGCCGTCATGTTTTACAAGCAGGTTGGGCCGTTGCAATGCATACATTCGATACATTTTGTATTATTCCCATTATTTATAGTAATTGTAACTGCTAAAATAAGCCACCCATGGCCCAAAGAAAGCTTCTAGTGCCAACCCTTTGGTAAAAAGGGTGATAAATACTATCGTACCCACAGTCAGCTGCTGCTCTGCTGCTGCACCAACCACGCACTGATAAATTGGACCAGTCAGCTGCTGCTGCACCACAGCTTCAGCTGCACCATGGTCAGGCTGTTTCTGGTACCCCTGCTGCTGTTGCACCATGGTCAGCTGCACCACAGCCTGATGTGTTGATGCTGCAACCACCGTCAGCTGTATTACCAAAGACGTGGAAAGTGTTGTTGGTGTGGCTTAACGTGAACAATTACCAAAGAAACAAATTAACCACCAGAGGTTAGCCCCCCAGGATAACCCAAGAAAGCAGTGCATCATCGAGGCTCTAACTTATTTCCATTGGGGTCCTTAATCTTGTCTCCCCAGGATGCAACCCCCACACCAGTCAACTAACACCTAGGTGAACATGGAAAAAATGCCTGGAACTAGTGCTCATTTTGGTGAATTTAAAGCCAGCAAAGGTTGGTTTGAGATATTTAAGAATCGTAGTGACATACACATGTGATAAGGCCTGTTCTGGAAGGAAAATGCCAAACAGGACCTACAGTACTCAGGAGGAAAGGCACTCCCAGGCACAGTGTCTCATCATCATTGCTGCATCTTCAATAAAGGTAAGTGCCATTTATTCTTCATTTAGTAGAGTATTACATGCACAATATATACTGTGCATGTACTACTCTACTATTGTTGCATGTATCCTTCTCTTTGTGTGTAGGAAAATGTATAGTTCATCATGGGTAAATTTTTTTGTTCATACTTTGGGTGTCTTGCATGGATTAATTTGATTCCATTATTTCTTATGGGGATAATTCATTTTGCATAACTATAATTTCTCTGCATAACAATGAGCTCTCATGAACGGATTTAATATCCGTCTATCGGGGGTCCCACTGTATATACAGTGACCCCCGGTTAACGATATTTTTCAACACATCCAAGTATGATCAGGTGCCAGTACTGACCGAATTTGTTCCCCTATAAGAAATATGTGAAGTAGATTAGTCCATTACAGAACCCCCCAACATACACGTCAAACGCACTTACATAAATACACTTACATAATTTGTCCACATTTCGGAGGTAACGTTATGCGGGGGTCCACTGTATATATATATATATTTATATTATATACACACACCCCTCCGAGTTTTCTTTTTCTATTTTCTAACTATTTCTTGTTCTTGCCTTATTTTCTATTATCTCCATGGGAAGTGGAACAGAATTTCTTCCTCCGTAGAGCCATGCGTGTTTGTAAGAGGCGCATAAATGCCGGGAACAGGCTAGTACCCCTTCTCCTTATAAATTACTAAATTTAAAAAGAGAAACTTTCTGTTTTTCATTTTGTGGTCACCCCTGCCACGGTGGATACACCGGTGCTTGAAAGAAAAGAAGCGCTAGTACACAAGTAGGCATAGGTTGGTAGACAGCCAGCACGCCCAGGGAGGTACTAACTACGGTCCTGCAAGTGAGAGTAAAACGGAAGCCGTATTGTTTTACAAAGCTGTAGGATTGCTGGTGTCTTTTTTTGTTTAATACACATGCAAAGATTTCAGTTATGATACGATAGGCTGCTAGATTCTACTTGACAACTTAGAGTCAAACTACAAATACATGTACAAGCATATATATATACACAACACCTCTGGATTTTCTTTTACTCTTTCTTTCTTTCTAGTTCTTGTTCTTGTTTATTTCCTCTTACCTGAAATGGGGAAGTGAAACAAAATTCTTCCTCAGTAAGCCATGCGTGTTGTAAGAGGCGACGAAAATGCAGGATCAAGGGCTAGTAACGCTCAATCTCCCTGTATATATTACTAAATATAAAAGGAGAAAACTTTCATTTTTCTATTGGGCAACCTCGCCTCAGTGGGATACAGCCAGTGTGTTTGAATAAAGAACTGGTACACAGCCCCTTACTCTTTCAGTGATTCTTGCAATTGAACTGACAGAATGTGTGTGGCACAGCGTGCGTGGTATTCGGAAGCAAATGCCAAGGTTCCGATGCTGCACCAGCAGGGGTATGTGCAGGCCTTTGCTGCCAATGACATTCATGGCAATTTGGTGGCATGGCAAACATGGATGTCATATTCCTTGACATCAGTTCACACGAAATGAAAATGGACACGACACTGGCAGGCACAAGAGAGACAAATGAACCCAATCTTTAAAACCAGCAGCTGTCATAGACTACACCTCAATATACACTTAGTGGGACAAATGTTGACATGCAGATTGGGTTTGTTATTTGTGTAGCAAGAGTAATAAGTAGTACATAAAACTTTTTTCCATCTTCTTTAATTTCCATGCTGAATGATTAATAACAATATACAAGTTGAAGACAAACAACAAAACAAAATATGGTGAATTTTGTTTGTCATCATCAAACAAATAATATTCAAGTACCAAGGAGCAACACCTGCAATAGACCAGCGCCCATCGAAATTACCAACACATGATGCCCCACTCGTTTGAGCCTGGTGATCATCTACTACTCCATACAATGCTCCTACTGCCTTTCAAAAAGAGTTGCACAGAATAGTGTTTTGTATTGGACATTGAAACCCCACAAAAACGCCCACTAAAAAACGCAGAGACACTCGTTTATGTGTGAGGAGTGTCAAGTACCACTCTGCATAATACCCCATGTTTTCAAAGAGTTCCACAAGCTGCAGCAGTTCTAGAAAGTTTCAGTGACTGTACATATGTATATATATTATGGATCTATAGTAATAAACAATGTTTTTGTATTGCTTGGTTTTGTGTAAACAGTTGTATAAACAATCTAATAAGTGATAATGTTTGTGCAGATTTATTGTTTTTGTAAACAAAGAAGTGTATAATTTAACAATGCACCTTACTTTGGTCTCACAGGACACATAAGTTACTTACAAAAGAAAAATATTGGAAAATACAATGAACCTTTGAAATGGAGTAAATAAAAAAATATTGGGTGAGCAGTATTTTGCCGCTGTTGCCATACGCCGGCTCATTTTACCACTGCCAACTTTGCGCCTCTGTATCTCGGTAAGCACTGATGGCAAAAAAAATTTTTAGGCTTAAAACACTCAGTAAAATAATCCTATAATTTTGGTAAGAATTTTCTTTTTTTTTTTTAATTATTTTGCAACATAAAGACAGTTTCAGAAATGGGTTTGCGACAGTTAAAGGAGGGGTTGGGATAATTGTGCATTTTGGTGGAATCTGTAATAGAGGTATATATATAACTGGGGGGGGCCCTGATATTGTAACTATTTCAGGTCACGTTTGTATATATTATCTTTATAATGCTTTTAATAAACCTCCATGGGGAAGTGGGAACAGAATTCCTTCTCCGTAACTCCGCAATGTTGTAAGAGGCACCTAAAATGCCGGGAGCAAGGGGCTAGTAACCTCTTCTCCTGTATAATAACTAAAATGCAAAAGGAGAAACTTCGTTTTCCATTTGGCCACGCCCGCCTCGGTGGGATACAGCCGGTGTGTTGAAAGAAAGAATATGCTTCTAAACAGTTGTATATGGGTGCCTCTGCAAAAACAGTGATTATGTATGAGTGAGATGAAAGTGTTGAATGATGATGAAAGTATTTTCGTTTTGGGGATTTTCTTTCTTTTTGGGTCACCCTGCCTAGGTGGGAGCCGGCCGACTTGTTGAAAAAAACAAAAAATCTGTGATGGACCCTGGAATCAATAACATAGATCTATGTGATGGACCCTGGAGTCAATAACATACATCTAAGTGATGGACTGTAGAGTCAATAATATAGATCTAAGTGATAGAACCTGGATCAAATAACATAGATCTATATGATAGAACCTGGAGTCAATAACATAGATCTATGTGATGGACCCTGGAGTCAATAATGTAGATCTATGTGATGGACCCTGGAGTCAATAATGCAGATCTGTGTGATGGACCCTGGAGTCAATAATGTAGATCTATGTGATGGACCCTGGAGTCAATAATGCAGATCTATGTGATGGACCCTGGAGTCAATAATGCAGATCTATGTGATGGACCCTGGAGTCAATAATGCAGATCTATGTGATGGACCCTGGAGTCAATAATGCAGATCTATGTGATAGACCCTGGAGTCAATAATGCAGATCTATGTGATGGAGCCTGGAGTCAATAATGCAGATCTATGTGATGGACCCTGGAGTCAATAATGCAGATCTATATGATGGACCCTGGAGTCAATAATGCAGATCTATGTGATGGACCCTGAAGTCAATAATGTAGATGTACATGACACACAGTGAAAGGGTTGACAAATATAACAGTTAAGACCACTGACTCACCTGTCATGGAGTCCACCATCCTTGGAACTGGTACTGTCAGCTGAGTTTGGTGGAGCAGTACCATCTACATCATCATCTTCTGAGCGACCCGAAGCAAAATTAAAATATGTAACATTATCATTTTCTATATCCCAGATATACAACTTAGGATCGGGCAACAGAGATGTCTGCGCAATAGAAATGGAGACTCTAGTGCCATTGCAGTTACAGCGAGCAGAGATTATCTCTCCAAAGTCTTTGATAGCTTCACTCATCTGCTTCCCTTGTGTGTGTGGTTTGGCTTCCCTATAATAAAGAAAAAAGTTATAAATTTTAAACAGAAATTAAACTTTTATACAAGGAGTAACAGAACACGAGAACAAGAAACTTGCACCTCCCAATGCAAGTTAGCTAACTTCATTTTGTCTGTGAAATTCTTTAATACCCTGATGATAGGCATTTAATGCATAATGAAGTTTTTCAAATTTAGCTATTAGTCAACAAATAAAAAAGAAATAAGGATAAAAGATTCTGATTATTTGGGCCTGTGGAGAAAATGGAAAGTCAAGGGAAAATGATGAACATGAAACAAGGTGGAAATCAGGTCAAATCTCCCTCACGGACTATGTTACTAATCTGTCCTCTGTCACAATCTCCCAACATCAGCTTGAACTTCTTGGTCTTGGTCTTTTCCTTGCCACTTCACCTACTCCTCATTCAGGCACTGACCTGATTAGCCCCTTTGATTTCATTCTTCAGTTTCACTCTTGGAATTTTCCTGACCTGACCACTTTTTGTGGTGCTCTCATTCCTGCCCTTGATAACCTACTGTCTAAGAACTACCACCTTCCTCATTGCTATCAACTTACCCTTTCTTGATTCTAATACCAATATTATAATCCTTCCCTCTGATAAAGGCAATTTAGTGGTTGCCCTTGATTATGAGGAATACCATCCAAGAGCTGGTCTTGATCTGTGACTCACACATCTGCACTCCTCTTATTTCCAACCCTCACGATCGCATCAAGACACCTTTCAACATTTCCTTAAAGAGGTTCTGTGTCTTATTCTCTTTCCTCTTGGATGGCCAAAACTCTTACTCCCTTTCCTGGAACTTTTCCTTCTGCTCACCTCCATCGCTCTCAATAATTCATTAATGGAATGTGTCGAGGACCCCCCCCCCCCCCCAATTCTGACATGGGTCTTAATCCTAAGATGACCTGTCTGAGGATCTCGAAGATGTCGATCTAATTTAGCTGTTCTGTGGCCATGATCAAAGTCTTGTAGTCCCTGTGCATTCCACAGTGAAACAGTTTAATTACTACAGCAAGGTGAGGTCATCAGGCCCCCCATCACTGTCTCTAAATCCTATGCTGGGTGGTCAGGTAAATTTGCAAATAAACCCATGAACTCTTTTCACAATAGTTCAGAAAGTCCCTTTGTTTTCTTCTGAGTCTATCAGGTTGAATATGGTATCGGTGAAATGAGTGATTGTTAACATCACTTGATGGCTCAGGGTTAATATGAATTGGTTTGCTCTGTTCTCGTGATGACTGTTGTGGTTTTAGGATAGGTGCATTGTAGGTAGTCTGATCCTGTGGCATGGGGCCTGCAGGCTGCTGTTGTAATGTGGGAGTTTGAGCACAAGCAGGCTGAGCAATGGCATGACCCCATCATTGATTTTCTTCAGTTTCCTCCATCGCTGTAGCTGAGGAAGTGACCCTGGGTTCCTTGATACTGTAGCCTCCTCTGGAGAAATCTGCTGCTCAGTGCTGAGGGCTCTACTTAGTGTTGAAAACTGGACAACAGGGGATTTCCATGCTGCCCTGACCCAGAGAAGCCTCTCCAAGCAGTGCAGATTCCAGGTCCCAAGCATAAAGGCAAGGCAGCCAGTATATACAGCCTCTCCTCATTTAGCGATATACTAGTTTACTGATGACTCGGACCTCCGACGGGCTCTCTGACCAGTATGCATACCTAAATAATGTATATTAGAGCTGATTTCCTCTATTATGTTCATTACAATATACAGTACACTACTGTATAAACATTTAAAAATATACTAGAAATGTTATAAGTGGTGCAAAGGTGACATTAAAACAATATCAAAGATGATTGACACATACCCACTACCATTATAGTATGCCCCTCATCGTCAGTGGTCAGTCGTCACGTGAGGTCACAGACCCTGAGCTGCTTTGGGGATTAGCGTGGACGGTTACAAAGCATGGCTTGCTTCTGCAGTGTTTTAAAAATTGAGGTTGGAGAGTTGAAGGAGGAGGTCTTGCTTCTCCAGGAGGAGATTAGGAGGCTGAAGGTCCACCTCAATGGGTCTGGGAGAGAGTGTGAGGTGGCTGGAGTTGTGGGGAATGAGGCTTCTAGCAGTGAGGTGCAGTCTGTCTCTCGCTGTGAGGAGGCTGTAGGTGGGGAGGTAGCAACGGCTACCAGCAGTGAGGTGCAGCCCAGCACCTGCTACAAGTGGCGAGTGGTTCACAGTAATGGGAGGCGCATCAGAGTAAGGAAAGTTAAGAGTGAAGATCTGAAGGTAGGAAATCGCTTCTCTGTTCTTCAGGATGAATGTACTTCAGTGGCCAGTGAAGGTAAGGGTACTACTGCCCCTGCTAATGGAGGTAAGCGCATTCTTGTGGTTGGTGACTCTCAGGTAAGATATATTGACCGTGCTTTTTGTAATAGGAATAAGAAGATGAGAGATAGAGTGTGCTTCCCTGGAGCTGGTGTTGGGGACATTGTCAACAGGCTGGATAATATCATGTCAGGTAATGGGAACAAGCCCATTATCTGTCTCAGTGCTGGTGGAAATGATATTGGGAAGGGTAGGAGAGAAGAGCTGCTAGATAAGTACAGGTCAGCTATAGATTTCATTAAGTCTAAGGGAGGGATCCCAATCATATGTAGCATCTTGCCTAGAAGGGGAGTAGGAAATGAATGGTTGTCTAGGGCAATTGGTGTAAATTGCTGGCTAGACAGATACTGCAAGGAACTTGCAATCCCATTCATTGACAACTGGAACAACTTTTATGGCAAACATGATATGTATGCAAGGGATGGGGTACATCTCTCTGGGGCTGGGGTGGTAGCACTTGCAGACTCGATTGAGAAGGCCATTGGTGAAATGCCTATGATTTTAAACTGATGGAAGATAGAGGTAATGGGTGTGTGTGGGAAACAAGCAGGTTGCAACACTAGGGTTGGAAACAGTAAATGTATAAAAGGCATTCAGCATGAAGTTATAAATAAAGACAATAGATCAGGTCAGCAAACAAAGGGGGACAGCAGAGGGCAGCAAGGGACTAGCTCCCTTAAGGTTTACTATACTAATAGCAGGAGTGTAAGAAATAAGATAGATGAGCTAAGATTAATTGCAAGTGCAGGAAACAGATATTATTGCTATAACAGAGACCTGGCTCAATCTGAAAGATAGAGAGATGCCCTCTGAATGTCACATACAAGGCTATAAATTATTCCACACTGACAGGGTCAACAGGAAAGGTGGTGGAGTAGCGATGTATGTCAGAGACAATTTAAATTGTTGTGTTAGACAAGATATTAAATTAGAAGCGTCAGCCACTGAATCTGTTTGGTTACAGCTTCTCGAGGGCCGAGAAAAACTAATTTTGGTGTGATTTACAGGGCCCCAAATCTTGATAGGGAGTGCAGTAAACTTCTATGGGACGAAATTAATAAGGCATCTACATACGAAAATGTTGTGCTAATGGGAGATTTCAACTATAGACAGATTGACTGGAGCAATTTGACAGGAAATTTAGAGTCAGGTGACTTTCTTGATACGATCCAGGATTGTTTTTTAAAACAGTTTGTGACAGAGCCAACTAGGGAAATAACCTCCTTGACTTGGTTCTTGCCAGTAGGGAAACACTAATTAATAATCTTGAGGTTAATGATGAGCTTGGGGAAAGTGATCACAAATCACTCAGTTTTAATATATCATGGAATTCCCCTAATAATGGCAATCAAGTCTCCGTCCCTGACTTTCGCTTGGCTGATTTCATAGGACTGAAAAATTACTTAGGTGGGCTGAACTGGAATGACCTGACTAAGGGTCAGGTAGGTGGTGATGGTTGCCGATATGATGCTTTCCAGGGCATAGTTCTAGCTGCTCAGTCAAATTATGTTCCAAATAGGGAAATCAGATCAAACAAAAATGATCCTAAATGGATGAACAATAGATTAAAATATCTGATTGGTCAAAAGAGAGGCATATATAGGCAAATCAAAAGAGGAGAGGGGCAATTAAGAAATTGATATATTCAGTTAAAGAGAGAAATAAAAAAGGGAATTAGAAAAGCAAAAAGAGATTATGAGGTTAAAGTTGCAAGAGAATCGAAGACTAACCCAAAAGGATTCTTTCAGGTATACAGAAGTAAGATCAGGGACAGGATAGGCCCACTCAAAAGTTCCTCAGGTCAGCTCACTGACAGTGATAAGGAAATGTGTAGAATTTTTAACACATACTTCCTCTCAGTTTTTATACAGGAGGATACCAGCGATATTCCAGTAATGATAAATTATGTAGAACAGGACGATAATAAACTGTGCACGATTAGGGTCACAAGTGACATGGTCCTTAGGCAAATAGATAAATTAAAACCTAACAAATCCCCAGGCCCTGATGAACTGTATGCAAGGGTTCTAAAGGAATGTAAAGAGGAGCTTAGCACACCTTTGGCTAATCTTTTCAACATATCACTACAAACTGGCATGGTGCCAGATAAGTGGAAAATGGCAAATGTGATACCTATTTTCAAAACAGGTGACAGGTCCTTAGCTTCGAACTATAGACCAATAAGCCTAACCTCCATAGTGGGAAAATTTATGGAATCAATAATTGCCAAGGCAGTTCGTAGCCACCTTGAAAAGCATAAATTAATCAACAAATCTCAGCATGGTTTTACAAAGGGGTGTTCATGCCTTACGAATTTATTAACTTTTTTCACTAAGGTATTTGAGGAGGAAGATCATGGTAATGAATATGATATTGTGTATATGGACTTCAGTAAGGCTTTTGACAGGGTCCCACATCAGAGACTATTGAGGAAAATTAAAGCACATGGAATAGGAGGAGAAATTTTTTCCTGGATAGAGGCATGGTTGACAAATAGGCAGCAGAGAGTTTGCATAAATGGGGAGAAATCAGAGTGGGGAAGCGTCACGAGCGGTGTTCCACAGGGGTCAGTGTTGGGCCCCCTGCTGTTCACAATCTACATAAACGACATAGATGAGGGCATAAAGAGCGACATCGGCAAGTTTGCCGATGACACCAAAAT